TTTAATAATAAATCTGTGAATAATATATTATTACTACTTAAAAATATCATTGGTCGTTGAAAATTTATACCCAAGAATGGACGTCTGGACTATTCTACGGCGAAGGTCTTTAGGCCCATCAGTCTTATGTCGTTTGTACTAAAGGCTCTTGAGAAACTAATGGACAGGTATGTTAGGGATGAAGTAATGGGAAAAAGACCATTTCAAGAAGACCAGCATGCCTACACAGCAGGACGATCAACCGAATCGGCATTCCATCAGCTAGTAAGCAAAGTGGAGTCAACGTTCGAAACAAGAGAAGTGCTTTAGGGGCATTGCATGCTTAAAAGTCGAGTGGCAGATACCATCCTACTAAATGAGACTGTTGCAGTCCGGGTGGCGGGAGGATGCCCGCAGGGGGGAGTTCTCTCCCCTCTGTCGTGGAATCTGATTATGGACGGACTGCTTGATAGTCTCAACAGGGCTGGTTTCAACACTCTGGGATATGAAGACGATTTGGTCGTGTTAGTCAAAGGTAAGGTTAACACAACTGTAAGGGAGCGAATGCAAAGGGATTGTGGAATCACATGCAAAGGGATGCAAAGGGATCGTGGGTGACACGGGAGGGACTAAATATTAGTCCTACAAAAAGACCGTAATAATCCCCTTCACCAAACGAATAATTTTGGAAAGACTAGGACCTCTAGGACTCTGCGGTGATGAGATTCCTCTCTCGGGGGACAGGTCAAGTATCTAGGAATCATGCTGGATACCAAACTGACCTGGAATCGACACAAGGTTCCAGGTCAGTTTGGTATGGGTTTTTTTTTGGTTTGGTCAATATGTCACAACGAGGGCGGTGACTACACTAGCGGTAGTCAGACGACTTTATGGAAAAATCTGGGGCCTCAGACCACAGATGGTGCACTGGCTGTACACTGGAGTGGTGAGGCCTTCAGTAACATATGCATCCTTGGTATGGTGGCCTAAGGTAATGCAACAAACAGTAAGGTGCAAAGCCTTGCTTGTCTGAGCATAACAGGGGCGATGAAATCAACGCCCACTGCATCAATGGAGGCGCTTCTGGACCTTCCGCCTCTTCACATAGTGATCCAAGCGGAAGCAAGAATGGGACTCTCTCGACAACAAAGTGTCTTGTTTCTGGAAAATAGGACAGAAACTTGACCCCCCTTTATCACTACCACAAACCATTCGAGGATTCGAACAAAATGGATCGAGGAATGTGAACAGATAGTAACCTAAGTGAACAGATACTAACCTAGTACACAGACCGCCTAAGGAACAACAGGAGCTGGAGTATTTGGGGAAAGACCAAGGGCAAGCTTATCCTCTTCCTTGGGTAAACACTCAACCGTATTCCAGACAGAAATCTTCGCCATTCTACAATGTGCGAGAGAAAACAATAGAAGAGTTATTCAGGTAAGCTCATCATTATATGCTCAGACAGTCAGGCGGCACTTGGGGCGCTTATCAGCCCAAAGGTATTGTCGAGACTCGTCTGGAAATGCCTGGGTGAACTGGGAGTTTAGGCACAAAGGAACAGAATTAAATTATTTTGGGTGCCGGGCCACAGCGGGATCCAAGGCAACGAAAAAGTCGATGAGCTAGCTAGGCAGGGATCATCGGCATCCTATCTTGGTCCAGAGCCAGTACTGGGAATACCCAAATGTATGGCCCGTACTGCACTAAAACTCTCCATCAGGGAAAAGCACAATGTCCATTGGAGAAACAGACAGGGGCACAGGCACAGCAACGCTTTTATCCAAGGACCTAGCTCTAAAACCCCAAAAGAACTAATGCTTAGCAGGAATAAAGTGCGGATTACAACAGGCCTCTTGACAGGACATATGGCTGTAAAGAGTTACCTGAACAAGCTCAACCTGTATCAAGGAAGTCTTTGGTGCAGACTCTGCGATAAAGATCCTGAAACAGCGGAGAACATCATATGTCATGGCGAGGCTCTGGATCGCAAGCGATACTTTTTATTAGGGAAAGCTAGGCTAGAACCGGAGGAACTATGCTCCCATCCTAACAAGGACCTGCATAAGCTAGTGCAGGGCACAGGGATAGGAGAATGGGTGCAGATATAGAAGGGGGACACACAGGTCGCAGTGTTTCCGGCAGAGGACGGCCCCTTATTATGAAAAAAAAAAGATTTGGTCTTCTTCTAGGTCTCTTAATTCCTCGTGGGTACCATGCTCTAATTTTTGTGGCCCATCTGTGTGTACATAAACAACACATGCGTGAGCCAAGTTTAATATCTAGACGAATATAATGTCAGTAGATACGAATATCCGCTATAACAGCATGCATAAGGCGTGTTAAAAATAAAACAACTGTACGTGTAGTAGGTGAGTATAATTAACTTGAATGTCTATAGCACCAGTAACTTTGTATAGATTAAAAAACAGTTGAAAATATATGTATATGTACCTATGGTGAAATTACTGGTGAAAGAAACGAAGAGCCAATATCCCTCAGAACAAAATATTATATCAAGATAACTACAGGTATATTTTTTGTTCCTATAGGGACTGTAACGTACCATTTGGATATATTAATAGTTGTTCTGAAAGTTTATTTAAATATGTCACAGCTTCATAGGGGTAGTATCTGTTTTATTTTGCGAAACTGTAAGTGTATTTTTTTCTTAATAAAGGTCAGTAACATGATTTAAAGTATCTATTAAATTAACATGATTTAAACTTTTTACTTTCAATATTCCTCAGCATTTTGATTTATGTTTTTAACATCACACACACACAAAGTTATGATATAAATTCTAAAGTACACAGGATAAGTGCCAAAAATAATTACTCCTGAGATTTAATTCAGACCATCGTAATACTTGTAAGGCTAAAGTAAAAAAAAATATCATCTTTCAAAAATATCCTATCCGAGATCATATCCTTTATACAGATACATATCCAAATTGTGTTCGGGAAACATCGGTAGCATATTTCACAGTTAAACAAAAAAATGCATTAACCTTTTTTTTGGTGGGCTCTGGGGATAAGAATTTACTTATTTTTTCAATGTTCAATGTATTGTATGTAGAATAACATGAAAGAGTTTATTGTGCTATTCAAATACAATGATTAGGAATTTTACACTACATAGTTAAATATAATAACTTGTCTATTAAGGAAACACTACCATGTATGGGCATTTAAACGAACTTGAAAGTTTAGTTAAATATTTATAATTATATGCTTATAAAATCGTTCTTTTATGTCTGAAGGTGATAAAAGCAGTAATCGGATTAAATTTTTATCTTACATTTTTGTATTACTATCTACTTACATTTTTAAATGAAGTTTAGTGTAGTTTCAATCTATTATAATTTTAGTCACTTAAAGAGATATCTACATAAACATAAAATAATTTATTTTAAGTAAAACAGTAGAAACTTTTTAGTAGCAAAATATCTCTAGTAGTCTATTGTTGGCTATGTGGGCCCAATTTATCCCTGCTAATCTTCTAATACCATGGTCCTATCTCAAGTTTGGTCTTCTTCTAGATCTCCTAATTCGTCGTGGGTACCATGCTGTAATTTTTGTGGCCCATCTGTGCCCTTCTTGTTAGGTGTCCTGCCCATTGCCACTTGAGGGATTTAATTCTGTAGATGACATCTATTACCTGATATCCATTCTTTTACGGTCGTTCTTTGATATTTCCAGCATATTTCGTTCCATTGAGAGTTGTGCGAATTTCAGTTTTCTTATAATGTTCATTTTAAGTGTCTAGGTTTTGCATGCATAATAGGTCATAACTGGTAGTACACATTCTTCGAATGTTTTCCTCTTTAGATAAAGTGGCATTCTGTATTTGAATATACTGATTTTTTATGCTTCCATACTTCCTTACTCCATGCTAACTTAATTCCTCTATTGATTTCTGGTAGTAAAGATCCCGAACTGTGTATTAGTTGTCTCAAATGTATATGTATATCCTTCTACTATTTCTAGTGTTGTGTTATCTTTCAGAATGTCTTTTCTGTCTATACTAGTTCGTTGTACATTACTTTAGTTTTTGCTAAATTCATTATTTGAAGCCTACTTTATATTAATATTATATTATACACTTATTTGAATAAATAGTTATTTAAAAAAATAGTAATCTATTGTTAAGTTATCTAAAAACATAGTATGTCCAGTAACAGAAAGAAGAGGTATATTATGTTCCAATAGCATTCCTGTTGTTTCAACTGTCATATTTCTGGAAATTGTTCAATATTAAGTTTACTCATTGAGAGTTTCACTCTAATCTTTTTTATGATAGAGCAAATTTTAATATTCTCATAAATATACTGGGTTATTTTAAGTTTTTACACTCTAGTTATAGTTTTTAAATGCAATTCTCTATTTTTTTGTTTAGTAGATTTGCCTACTATTAATATGCCTACTTTCTGCAAGGTATTTTTTAATTTGCCACCACTATTTTTTTAATTGTATAATAGTTGTCATTATAATTTACATCACAATGTAACAGTGATACTTTTAACGTTGTTTCAATGTTATGAAAAGTTACACACAAATTGCATATTTCCAGAACTTTTGCAATATTTTGAATAGCAATTAAATTGAGATAAGCTTTCTATTTGTTAACTTATACTCACAATTAATTGATTATAATGATTTGTATTAATTTACCTTTTATAATATATTGTATGATTCAAATAATGCGTTATTGTTTAAAGTGCTGATAAATTCTGAGGAGCATAAGGTTTATTATTTATCTTATTTCAAGATAAAAATTTTATCGTTTTAGAATTATTACAAATCAATATTCCAAGGAATAATTATTGAATTTTTTTCTATTTTAAAATGGCGACCTTTATTATATTTTATTATTTTATATTTATTCTGGTACAGAACATAATATAGTATGTGCTTGTTATAAATAGGAGTGTTAACCGGGCTTATCAGTGTTATAAAAGATTTTTATAGATATGATAAACACGAGCAAATATTTTGTAATTTCCTACCTTAAATCTGTAGGTAATTGTTTTATACGAGAAATGTGTAGTCATTTCGTCATTTAGTAATAGTGCCAACATATTTCGGCTGTTTGTGATTCGTGTATGGTTAGTTAGTGTTAAATAATCTACAGTCATGACAATAAGAAGAACTGGAGCAATAGAAGGAGTGCCTTCAAAAGTAAAAATTATTCCATCTGAATATCAGCGCAGGCGCATACGTCAAATTAAAGGTAGGTCTTTGTAGCACCTCCATATTAATATTTTGCTAATATTGCCATAATACAATAGGTACGATATATCCTATTGTTTATAATATACAGGGTGGCGCACCTCATTCGCCTCGGTTGATTATACGAAAACGGAAAGATGTAGAAATAAAATTTTGATGGGTATATGTAGAGAGGCAATGTGCATAATTTAAAATTATTTTCAAATGTACAGGGTGCGTCAGAACTAAGATCCATACCAAAGTTATATTTTTTCATATGGAACACACACACGCCCGGTATTTTATTTCATTTTTGGATTCTTGGGCATAAAATAAGGCATTTATTATAAGGATTTAATATGTTTAAATGCTTTGGTTTTTGAGATATTCAAAGATATTTAAATATATGTATGATATAATAAAAAAGTTTGTCAACACCCTGTACATTACTTTTCAGAGTTAATTCTTGTGCTGCCTTTGAAGCCAGAGAAATAAACTTTACTAAAAACTTTTATTGCTTCCTTAAATGTATGTAGAGGTATCAAAAATTGCTGGTCTATTTTAAATATCTATTTTACATCAAAACTTTGTTATTTCAAATACAACACTATGTATTTTTTTAAATATGTCGATGCAGATTTAAATGCTCTTTCAAACTATATTAGGGTTTCCTATACCTATCTAGCTCAGGTTTTGAATAAAAAGCGATTTTTCAATAAAATGGCAATCAAGATGGCTGGTGTCGCCATGGCAATTTGCTAGTGACAGGTAGTAGCTATTTTCAAAAACGACATTAGTTTATGGACTTCAAAATTTCATTCAAAACCTGAGCTATAACTAAGCTATACCCTATATGCCTATATAACTAAACTATACCCTATTATAGTTTGAAAGAGCATTTGAATCTGCTTCGATTTATATAAAAAAATACAGGGTGTTGTATTTGAAATAACGAAGTTTTTATGTAAAATAAATGTTTAAAATAGACCAGCAATTATTGATACCCTGTATACATTAAACGAAGCAATCAAATTTTTCAGTAAAGTTTATTTCTCTACCTTTAAACAGCATAAGAATTAATTCTGAAAAGCAATGTACAGGGTGTGAATAATATATTATGTTGTAGCATGCATTTTTAAATATCTTTAAATATCTCAAAAACCAAAGATTTTAAACATATTTAACTATAATTATAATAAATACCTTTTTTTGAGCATAAGAATCCAAGAATGAACTAAAAAACCGGGTGTGTGTGTGTTCCATAAGAAAAAATATAACTTTGGTATGGATCTTAGTTCTGAAACACCCTGTATATTTCAAAATAATTTTAAATTGTGCACATTGCCTCCCCACATATACCCATAAAATATTTTGTTTCTACATCTTTCCGTTTTCGTATAATCAACCGAGGCGAATGAGGTGCGCCACCCTGTATAATATTGTGCATTAAAGTTTAACACTTAATAATACTTATTAATTAATATCGCTACTAAAATATATTTGGAGTTGGACACATGTACGTAACTTAATATTACAAAATATCTCTATTTTAATGTATATTATTTTGCAGTGCTTTTATTTCGAAATTTAATAAATATAATTTTGTTTTATATAAAATGAGTCATACGGACGCCATTACTAGTACCGTAAAAACGGCGTCCAGGTGGCTTGGAAATAAACATCGATGATATTCCCCATATCATTTTACATATAAAATGACAGAGATCTTTTTGCATAGCCATCGCAGCCTGACACAGAACACGAAGAAAAAAAGGCCTTACAACACATCTAAGCCTTGTGTTCGATATTTAATCTATAAATTTTTTGTTGTAAGTATGCTTGTATCGGGCCGGTTGATACTATGCCTTAAATCGGGCTACAATATCACTCTGTTCACTCCCATGTTAAGACTTCAACTCTACAATCTTTGAAAAAATTTATATGCTCTCACTTCAAACTGATTAATTCCATATTCTCGTAATATATAGTCTGTCCAACGACAAAATCCTTGACAGTGATAGATGTGTCTGTCATTTTAATTTCAAAGTACTTTATTTTATTTTACAAAGAAATATGTTGGTACAATTGGAACGCATAATTAATATATTTAAATTTTGAGTGACAAGTGCTTACTTCAAAACTGCATAAAACTGAAAAAATCTAATCTTGGTTAATTAACTTTAATCTTAATTTTGTCTGCTAGTACTAAAATGTATAAATGTATTATTTACCTATAGTGTGATGTTATTTTACAGAAACTCCAGTTTTTGGTACCATATACGAGATGGTATACAACTTTATTTGTGGCTAATACAACTCTCTGGCCATAGTGTCTGGCAAACTGTGTTTCTGGCGGTCTCTGGGCACCGAATATTAACTGTAAACTATGGTCTGGGTCAACACTTAATTTTCCTTCGAGTTTTCCTCCACTTAATTTTAAAAAAACACGAAACACAAGTAACAACACAGTCCAAAAAATTTGACACAAAATTATAACCTATAATTTGGCAAGAGTTTGACAACTCTCAAAAATCTTAAGTCGGGTTCATACGCATCGGAGTCCGTTTGTCGTTATCGTTGCGTCAAACCAATAATATTGAAACATGATCTGTCGTTTTTGAAATAAACCAATAAAACTGGTTAAAAACAACAAGAGACGACGCATGACGTATTTACTTATAAACCCATCCATAGTTAACTTAAAAAATATTAGAAACTTTTTTTAGTGAAATAAATGGATTGGTATGGAATCATCTGCTTTTTTTCTGTCATAGTCTGTCGAAATCTTACCTGAGAAAAAAACAGAGTATATTTGTGGTAGCATTTCAAGTTTTGCTCAGTTCTTCTCATCTTGCGAAATATATAATTATGGATATTCCTTTTCTATTCCCAGTAAATTTTAGATTCTACTTATGAGGTAATATTGGCATGACGTTAATGCAAGTATTCGCCAATATCGGTGTCGGTGTATGATAGTGCTAGCTAAAAAATGAACTGGATTCTGATGGATTATTTTGTTCTATAGATGACTACTAATTTTCATGTAAAACGTAAATACTTATACTCAAAACCAACTTACTAAAAGCCATTTGCGTCATCACCGCAAGACAGCCGGTTTATGTCTACCGGAACCTGAGTGAGATAGATATAATAACGGTCTCTTTCACCTATGACGTTCCTGGCTTTTAGTAAGTTGGTTTTATCTTTAACAGTATAGGCGTAGATTGACAATCGGCTTAAGTAGCTTTATCTTCAAGCTGAAAAATCAAAGTCAATATATGTCCAACTAGTAATGCTCTATATTAAATTCTTCAAATGTAACACAGCATTCGGTCTTGTCTATCCAATACATAATTCGACTTTGTCTGGAATTTCATAAATAATCCCTTTTTGCTACTATTTTCTTGCTACTTTTGTACCATGTAATCTTACTTTCTGGTCTGTGCATCGTCGGTATCTCCTTGAAAACTAATGGATCAGGTGGGTAGTGTAAACAACTTGAACCTGTCTTTTTCGTTTATCATGCCAGAACGAATCAGGCACATTTCTTCAATAGTTCCAGTGCTAATGTCTCATTCAATCTTTGTTAAAAAATTTAACCTTGAGAAGGGGGGGTAATCACCGCGACCTTAATGATTTATTGTAAAAAAACTTTCTTGCATTATAGCTCATCGTACAGTCTATAACTCATCATACATGGACATCTTTCTGTTGTATGGGGATAGGGTATTTCCCATCCTCCTCTGACAACAGATGTTTATCCTCCGAGGAGTGGGTAAGTCTACTGAAGCATAACCCTCCGTGCCCTTCACCGTCGAGGAGCTTGTCTAAGGTTCCCGTAAGGAGGATCTGTCTCCATCTTCTCCACCTCTTTAGACCTGATATCGGTGTTGTCCCAAATCTATAATATGAATAATATGAATCTAATAATTTTAGTTACACAAAACAGCAAAAAGGCAGCTGTTGGTGGTACGATCTATCATTTTTCAACAAATTTATTTTACTAAAGGTTGTAAAAAAAAGTACTAATATACAGGTATGTCATAAAACACATCTAATAATAAACTTCCCAAATATTTGAAAATGGAATAGTTCGAGATGACTGCGACTCTCGATACATAGCAACTGATGATATTGACATTTTTATTATCTTTTAGTTAATTTTGACGTTTGAATTTGCCAAATTTTAAGTGGGTAGTGACATTTTCCCCTAAAACATGAATACAATAATTAATAGTAAGATTAACATTAAAAATACAAATTCAAACACCCCTCATTATTATTATAATGGCCGTGGACAAAGTATAGTATTCAACTCGCAATTTATAGCCATTATTCACTCGGGTGACTTGCGCCCCTCGCCTACAGCTCGTGAATAGGATATATATCTCTCTTTCTCTATTGTCTTCTTGGATTTGAGGTCAATTACACCGCAAGGGTTAGACCTAGAGGGGACACTTCTACAGTGACCCGCATGTAGAAGTAAGGGGACGGGTATACAATGGGTTGCCTCCTTGATATTCATATATCTAGCCACGCATCCCTTTGACCTGGTCTCACCATCATAGGATTTAGGTTTTTGGTGAGATTATCTCCTCTTGATCCGAGCGGTTAAGCTAAGATAACACCCCACACCCTCTGCCCGTGATACATGACCACAGACAGTAGGGGGTGCCTGATATAACGGACAGGGTAGTCCCATCCGGGCATCGTTATACGTCTTGGTGCAATTCCCTGGCCACGACACTGCAGCAAGGGACAAGACAATGAGATGCTCTTTAAACCCAGCCAACCTGCCAGAAGGGATTCCCTCTAGCACCTGACTAGGAGCTTCCCCACCAACGACAAGGTCTCGCATCTCCTAGAATTTTCAACCGTAATATTCTTCGAAATTTTGAATAGGTAGCAAGATCTTGAAAAATTCAAAATAAAGTAGGAATTGAATATGTCTACAAAAAAGTCCTATGGGTATTTCGCCACTTTCACTGTAAGAAAATTTACAAAATAAAATAGTTATTATTT